AGCCTCTGTTGTGGGACCGCTTTCTGCGTGTCTTCGAAGTCGCAAGTGCCAAATACATTCTGCACGTGGAGCAGTGAGCACAGGTACGAGCGTTACCCGCTAACRGCCTCTCCTGCACAGGGATCGGCAACCTCCTAAGTCAGCTCTTCAGTAAAGCTGTTATATCCCTGCCCTCACTTTCCCCCTTCCGAGACTGGAAGTGGGAACATCCATAGACAGACCACGCTAGGAGTTCAGCAGCTTGTGCCTGGAAGGCTGTGTGATACTGCTTGAACCTTTAAGAATAGGGGAGCATATATTTGATTGTGCTAGGATAAGGAGAGGAGTAAATAATCCCCACTGGGAAAGATTTGTCTGATGCAGAATTTCAGCCCAGATTATCCTTATATAATTATATATGTGCCAGAAAGATGTGTATGGTGAGAATTATTTGGATTTGTTTTTATATTCCTGTAATGTARAGAATGGATAGTTTTCATGCTGAAATATGAAAGATGCTCAGGGGAGCATCTACAAATGTTGAAGCTTTCCTGGATTAGTGCAGTGATCTGCTTGCTTGGAACCTGCTTCGCTAGTGGGAGATAAAGGAAGAAAAGAACATTTCAACTTTGTAATATAAAGAATGTCTTCCTGATTTTCCTTACTGACTGTGTAACTGTGAAAGCAAAGCACCATATCCTATTGTAGATCAGCTGACGAGGAGATGTCGTGTGTATATTGCAGTTCCAATACTTGATGGACTTTGTGTGTGTTAATGTATGTTTCTGTGTGTTCAGATCCCAGGGGGCACTTAGCAATGCCAGGGTCTCCAGGGCAGCACGGAGGTGGCCATGTGCCTGCAGTCCCCGAACGCTGTTACTGGATAAGGTGCCTCTGCAGTCTCCACTTGTGAGCCCTTGTCCATCCAGGTTGTTTGCACAAGGCAGAGCAAATATCAAGGATTTCCAAATGATCGGATTGCTGTCCTTTCTCCACAGGGCAGACCTGCAGCTTTGGGGCTGGATGGCACGTGATGCTGCCTCCTTTCTAATAAAGAAACAGGAATAAGTGTGTGAGGTTTGGTCTAGCACTGCAGTGTTTGTGTTCCTAGAAAGTATGGTGCAGTGATTTGAAAAATGAATGAAATGGTTTCAGTCTTTGAGGATAAAAAGAACCACAGAGTGGAAAACACCTGCTGCTCCTTTCTCCTGTCTTCAGCAGCACATCTTTTCTTGCTATTAATCTCCCTAAAAGGAATCAGTGTTTCTTTAGTTACCTGAAGTCACTGGTAAATTGAGGTCATTTTTGCTGCAAAACGAGTACTTTTCTAATCTTGATCTAACATGATTTAAAATGTGAAGTTCACGGAAACCTGGTGGACTGTGTGTGTGACAGATTGGAAAGGACTCACTGCCTCAGCAGGCGCTCCTGGCTCCCTGCCTTTTCTTTCCCACCTTCTTCTGAAGGGCAGTTCTCCCCATTTACAGTTTTCCCCCTCGTTATGGTATCTTCATTCCAATGCTAGAACAGCTCGTGAAAGCCTCCTGGAGAGGAAGTGCGCTGGAAAGCTCTTCATGCATCGTGTTAAAGGGCTCTGGAGACGCTGTGTGCGGAGAGCGCTCTGTGAGAGCTTCAGGGTGAGGAACCGGGGGGGTTGCAGGAGAAAACTGGCCCAGACCTTCCTTCAGTTGAGACTAACGGCATTCAGAGCCCAAAGAAAACCCTCTTCAAATTAACGGTTTCCAAGAGGGGAGAAATCCAGGAATGGATGCAGGGAGGGGAGGCGGCTCCGCGCACGCAGCACAGAGCAGTATCCATGCAGGAGCAGCGCTGCTCGACACAGGCTCCTGCTGGAAACCTTTCCCAATGGATCTCCCACTGCCGAGCTCTGGGGAGCAGGACTGTGTGCCCGACGTTGCGGACACAYTCAGTCCCAAGGGAGCGGGAGGGCAGCAATGGCTCTGTCCCCTGCAGAGGGGCCTCCTTTACTTGCCTTTTCTCCGTTTTCTTCATGAGGTCCTTTTTCTTCCTGGGACGTAGGGAAGCTTGTTTTTGCCATGCTTGTCATTGAACAATGTGTTGTTTCTTCTTTGACAGCCTTCATGTATAGGTGGGAGGTAAGGCGCAATTGCACTGCGTGGTCCTTCCTCAACTATGCAAACTCAACAACACTAATCACATTTTCTGTGCACTGTGGGAAGTTTGTCTGCATTGCCTATAGCATCCCCCTCCCTTCTACCTTTTCATTAAGACCCTGTGTACGCCTGGTTTGAGGTTTCTGGGCTGTGCTGACTTTGTGCAGTGATTGGAAGCAAAATGTTCCCTAATGCCCAGTGTGACCCAGGAGCGCGTGACTTGAGGAGACAGGTTCTCCCGCCGTGGCAAGTGCTGGCGTTGGCCATGGCTCCRCGCAACGCAAAATTCCCTCGCTGGTTGCTGCCCATTCGTGCCTCATCCTTGYGCATGGAGCCAGGCAGACACATTGTCCTTCTGAAACAGCCTGGAAGATGCCACTGGAGACGTGTCTTCCAAGCGCGGCGGCATCTTGAYGGCTGGGTCAAGTGCTTCTGCCATTGAGCAGTAGAAAAGGCAAATAAGTGAGAATTCTGGGGAAAAAAAGAACTTAAAAGTGGGTGCTACTGTATAGGTGATGTGCCGGTGGCCATTGTGCATTGACAATTCTCTATATTTTCTTTGATTTAAAGCATTGTGCTAGTAATCTAATTAACATTGAGCTGGGTTACCAGTACAGTAACTTGTTTGGTTCAGTAAGAACAGATTTAAACTAAAGGTTAATGAAAAGAATTTTCCCTCCATTTAATTCATTAAAAATTGTTCTACAATCAATGCTTGCTAATAGAAAATAGATTAAATATTCATGTCTGTAAATTTCTCATGTCATTTTTGATTTTCCTTAATCTCTGTGTCTCTAGATTGGATTCTGAAAATATCTGAAAACTCTATTGAAAAACTATTTCAGATATTAATTGCAGATTAATCCTCTTTAAGGAAGAAAGACTTCTGCACTTGTTTGTTTAGCACATATACGTGAACACAGGTTTAACTTCTCATTATGGATGGAGGGAAATAATGATGAGGTCTTACCTGTGAATGCATTACTAGAAGCAGATCTGAAGAAGCAGTATTATGTTCCTGAAGCACTTTTAAAGAATTACAAAGAGATGTTTGTGTTTTGTTGTGATAGCTTTATTTGCATTATAGAAGCAGCTTTGAGTGAACCAAAATTACAGCAGTTTGCATCAGAAGGATATTAACTGGACACAAAGATAAAATGTGAATAATGAATATGGAAGTTGCTGCTTGATGATTTAAGTTCTTTTTATAACAGAGTCAGTCTGGACACAGTCTCCACAAATGGATGGTCTGTTACCCAGAAGTTCCCAAGCAAGTTTTAGATACCTTTTGGTTGAGACACTTTGCCAATGTGCCAGCTGTAATCAGAAAATGTTTCTGCACTTGCTTTGTGTATGATCTTGGTGTCCCAGCTAAGGGAAATGCAGAGGCTGTTCGGGAGCTCTGTGCGTCTGCGTGTTATGTCATTGCTGATGTAGGAATGGAAATACACGCTGGTGAGAGATCAGAGTTACTTTGAGGATATTGTTCCCGTGAATGGTTCCCTTGGAAAGGAAGCAGCAAGGAACACTCTGGTAAATGTGCTCAAAATAATGAGTGTCCAGGCTCAATCTGCAAAAGKGCATATTTACACTGGTGCTTCTGGTGGGGTTGGATTGAGTTTTTTGTTAGTAGTTTTTCATTAGTCTAGCTCATGCCTTGGATGACATTTTTGTTCTTTTACCTGGCTGCTGTAACTGCTGTTGCTCGCTGCGCTTCCCAGCCCATCGTATTTAGCATGGCCAGACCCCTGCTTGTCTCTGCCTTTCCTTCTGCTGCCTTCCAGGTGCCTCTCCTTGTTTGTTTTCCTGCGGCCTCGTTTCTCCCTGCTCTCTGCTGTGAGTTGCTGTGTTCCCCGTGCTGCTCCCTGCGCATCTGGCCCTGCTCTGTGTTACCTGCCCTCCAGCTCAGCCCCCTGATTATCCTGTTTCCCTCCAGCTCCGTCAGAGCGTTCCTGCAAGGTCTCTTCCCACCYTGAGTCACATGCTCCTTGCCTGCGGGTGCTGGGGGGCCTGATCCCTGTTGCCAGCTCCGAGCTCTTGGATAACGACGTCTCTGTTGTAGCTTCACCGTGCTGCAAGTCTTTGCTTGGCTCTCTGGCTGATGTGTTATTGTTTCTTTAATTTTCCATTTGTAGTAAGACACATAAGTTCCATTTTAAACATGAAATACAAAAATACTATCTCTTGATGGTATTGTGTATGCCAAACACTATCTCTTTTCTGTAGCAAAGCAATTTTCAGCATTCTGAGTTGGACATCCTGGCTCAAATCCYGAGGCAGGATGATGCCCAGGTGCCGCTGTGGGCGCGAGCCCCGACGTGCTGGGGTGACGCAGGTGCGAGATGGGCTCTTTGCCCACCCAGCAAGGGAGATGGCGTCTGACCGAGGAGGAACCRGCTCCTATCTGGAGCTTTGCCTTGTGTTTCACTGCAGCATGAGCCTTCGATGCATTTTGCCCTACCAGCACGACATTTATGTTGGACTCATTAGCAAGAAATGATGAGAAAAAATATTCCTTGTACCCTATGTGAACTAGGAGAGTAGGAATGGAGTTCTCAATACAACAACTATTTGGTTATAAGTAGATAATAACAAGTAATTTTCTGAATCTAAGGAGAAAGCTTTTCTTAGCTGTTACCATCTTTGTTCTCCAGGACAGTTTAAAGGTATTGCAAGGACTGAGGGAGCTGTGGTGGGGAGAAGCCCTGGGTGGGCAGCCACAAAGCAAGYGAAACGTTGTCCTTGACTGTGGCCAAGGTAATCGAAGAAGCTAGAATGTACTTTTGTAGCCCAGTGGCCACCAGCATGAGGTCACCGCTCAGGCGGGTTTGATAGGTGTGACTTTTATCAGTTCCGTAATGGATGTCTCTTCTCTTTGGCTTTCAGGCATACTTCCGGCAGGGCGTAGCCCTTCAGTATCTTGGCCGYCATGCAGATGCACTGGCAGCATTTGCGTCGGGCCTGGCTCAAGATCCCAAGAGTCTTCAGCTTCTGGTTGGCATGGTCGAGGCCGCCATGAAGTCTCCCATGCGAGGTAAGTGTCACAACGTCTCTTGAAGGACCGTGACCTGCAGCTGAGGCTCTGAAAGAGGATCCAGAGAGGATCTGGAGACCCGCAGGGAAAAGATCCAGGAATTTATTTTTCTGCAGAGTTGGCAGGTGCTGAGGAAAGACCTCAAAATAACAGGAAGAAGAGGGTAATATTCCTGTCATGTGATGAAACAATGAGATGGCAATAGCCAACTCCAGAGATACTGRAGCTGAATCCAGCTAATGCTGTGTAGTCATTCCCATGAAATCCTTTGTCTTTTGGATTTTGTCTAATACCAATATGGATGGAGAGGTGCACTGCGCTGGACTTGGCAGCAGGCTGTTCTGCATTTCACTTTTATTCAGAATCACCATTAAAATCACATGGAGCTTGAAGTAGTTCTGCACCACATTTTGGCTTKCTTTTGTGATGTCCCATTTCCAGGGGCAGGGATTTTCTCGCTAGAGGAATGGGGCAGCCTCACTGCAGTGTTTCTAATGTGTTTTTCCTCAGGCACTCTGTCGCAGTGCCCTGGCGGTATTTCCCAAGAGGAGCACAGCAGTTCTCATCCTCTGCTGCAGGCTGTGGGGCTYGGTGACCAAGCTCACTGAAATGAGAAAATATCCCCATCAGTTTTTCTCTTTACAGTGTTTTTAATCCACCCTCTRAAATGAATTTGTCTGGAGGTTGCTTCTCCATATAGCAGTTGCCTGTGAAGGTAATTTCATTTTGTACCCAGAGGCACAGTGGCTGCTGCTTAGAAAGCAGGTTTGGATGTGAGCGTAGGCGCAGTGTGTGCTGTCTTTCAGTTTTCATAAGTGACACTAGACCTGCTGAACACATTCAGTACAAGCTGCTGACTGCTCACAGGACAGCTCTTGTTGTACACCAACCAAGTTTGAGTTGCTTCTGGATTTGGGAAACATGCTGCCAGTTCTTCTGGGGATGTGGCACTTTTGTGTAAGCATCCCCAGCCAGGCTGGGTGGCATTGTTGCCCTGTCATATTGCAGCTGAATAGCAATACTGCTGCTCCTTCTTGTGCTATTTGTTTCTGCTACTCTTCTGTTGTTATCCTCCCACTGAAGGGTTTGATAGATTTTTAAATTGATTTTGTTTATGAAGCATTAGTTTTATGCTGTGTGGGTGTATGTACTGTACCACTGTGCTGCACTAGTGTAATGATACCCTGTTTAGGCTGTAACTTACACCACATACTCCCTATTTGTTTCTTCAGGGAAGTGTTAAAATCCTCTCATCATTGTTTTTTTGCTTAGTGGTTATAGGGTAAAAATGCTGAAAATGGAGAGCAAATGACTGAGTTTGCTGCGATAATGCAATTGAATCAAGAAAAGTGACCTAGAAAATTTTAAAAATTACATTTTAAACCAGCACGGTTGGTTGGTGAACAGCAAATCCTGGAATCCTGGTATATTGAAGTCCCAACTGAAATGTGCAGCCAAGCATTAATCTGAACAATAAATTAATTAGACCAATTTAGTCCAGCAGGTCCCATTTCAGTGCTTCACAGGGCTCCTGCAGCTCCACCTGTCYATGAGAGCAGGTGGGGCTGTTGTTTGAAGAGGTCCTTCTTTACTGTAACTCTTTTCTTCTCTCTTGGTATATGTTGTGGACTCTGATACCTGAACAAGCACAGATGCTTTGAAGATGTTCAGCCAAATGCTAGCATGAAAGGAGTGGAGAAGGCTGTGATCTCATGCACTGGTGATGGCAGCTCTCAATTTCCTACAAAAGGCTGCCAGTGTTTTATTTACCCCTTCTCATTAGCTCAGTCTCCAGAGCTCAGTAGAGGATTGCTCTGTATCTTTGTATTGTCTTCCTGAAGTGCTTTCTGCAAACAAAGCATCAGCTTCCTTGTCACCTGTCCTGTCCTCATATGCATGTGCTGGGTGTTGGAGGATGTATTTAAGGTCTGAGCTCCCATAGTCTAGGAGTCTGACTCTTAACTTACTGTGTCATCTGGTTACCAAAAATGAAGTGTTTGGCTGATTTATAGATGTAAATAACTTAGTCAGTTGAGTAACTCTGCCTTCTTTTCTTGTACTGTAGAGTCCCTGGAGCCAACCTATCAACAACTGCAGAAGATGAAGCTGGACAAGAGCCCCTTTGTTGTGGTGTCTGTGATAGGCCAGGAACTTCTGACTGCAGGTCATCACGGTGCCTCTGTGGTTGTGCTAGAAGCTGCCCTGAAGATCGGCACTTGCAGCCTGAAGCTGAGAGGATCAGTGTTCTCTGCACTGAGCAGCGCTTACTGGTCCCTGGGGAATACAGAGAAGAGTACCGGATACATGCAGCAGGACCTGGACGTAGCCAAGTCTTTAGGTAGAATTCTCATTTCAGTCGCTTAAGTGCTGTTTTGGTACAGATGGAATGAATTATTAGGTATGTCAGTAGCATAAGTGAAGGACAGCATCTTTCTGTAATACTGGGATTTCTGTGTCATTTCATAAGCTGCTGAAGCAAACGTAGAATTTGTGAAATGCACAAACTACAGGCTTATGCAGCACTGCTTACCTGTTGTGTGAGAAGTGGGTGATCAGCAGATGAACTAAGCTTTAACAAGGTCTGCTAATTCTCTGGTATCATGTCTCAGTCTCTCTGCTGAGCATCTCCAGCAAGCCCTGTGTTTTCTAACCGTCATTTTGCTTGCATGTAACTCAGGTGACCAGACGGGAGAATGCCGAGCTCATGGAAATCTGGGCTCCGCATTCTTCTCCAAAGGAAACTACCGGGAGGCCCTTACAAACCACAGACATCAGCTGGTGCTCGCCATGAAACTCAAAGACAGAGAGGTAGGAATCTTAATAAATAGACTGGATTAGGAGTGGGAACATGTCATGGAGCCTTGTCTGTCTGCCCTGTTGTTACTCTGAATTTTTGGAAGCAATGTGGCTTGTCTTCCCAACCTTTCAGTTGCCTTCTGTTGCGGAAGTTGTATGCATCAGTGTATATACAGTTATTTTCRCATGACTGATGGGATACTTGGCTTATATTCTGACCTCTGCCTACCTCTGATTTGTTTTGAGCAAGTTCTGCCTCTCCATGCCTCTGCTTCCCTTCCTGTCCGTTCTGACTACCTCACATAGACTCTGGGATCTCAAGGTAGAAGCTGTTGCTRAGTAGGTGTAGATATGACATATTTCCCAGTTGATTCATGACTGTCATCAGCTCCAGTTTTTCCTGTGATATAGATGATACTGTTTGGAGCTGTATTAGGGGATGTCATTTAATGTGCCTTTTCCAGGCAAGTAATGAGCCAAGTTTCTGCCCCAAACATTTACAGTCTTTATAAAATAAGCTGTGTTTAAAAAGTAGTGAAGAGCAAAAGAATCCATGCAAGCCTAAAAATACTCTGTTTTGTGAAGTGTAGAATGGTTTGATCTGGACGTACTTTGCCTTGGCTGTTTACTGGTCAGCTTCCGAAGTGTTATGCTGGGCTCTCTGCCAGTGTGGAGACGCGCGCTCTGTGGCCGGAGGAGCGTGACCCAAGAGGGCCTGCTGCAAGTTCACTCTGAGGACAGAACCGTAATTCTAGTGCAAGTCGCTCTCCAGTGGGTTCCCCTCTAGTCCGAGCGGGGAGGGGGAGGGCTTGTGCATTGCCTGACAGATGAGCAAGGGGGAGCAGGGCAAGTTTGAGTACGTGTAAATGCAAAGGAAGATTTTGTGAGATTCCAAAAATGAGTGAATGAGTTTCTTATGAATGACTGCTTGAAAGATTCATCAAAAATAGTTGAGTGATCTACTAAAGTGTTGATTTATGATTTAAGTATCAGTAAGCCTTTGAGAAATGTCTTTCGGTAGGTTATAAAGGGACTGTGACTGGGGAAGGGACCACGAAACAATGTCATGATTATTTTACCAGCTGGAAAAACTCCTGAATCACTCTCGATTTCCCCGTTTCCGTTTGGGTTAGGCAGTGAAGCTGTTGCCCATCATTTTTTTTATAGCCCTGTTGATTAGGGGTCCCTGTTCTTGCTAAGAATCTTAATCTACGTAACTGCTCCTCCTCCCTGGGACTTCTGCAAGCAGCCATTTTCCCCTCTGCCCTTGCGGTAGGGATCAAGGAGGGAATGGCAGAAGTGTTCGGAGAGAAGAAACCCGGCCTGTCCAGGCACCTGAACTGACCAGGGTGGCCGCTCCGAGGCTTTGATCTAAGCACATCCCAACAGTTAAACTAGGAGAAATCCAGAAAATGAAGTTTAATTGTGATGGTTCTCAGTTTATGACACATCTGGGTACATAATTAACAGTTATTGACAACAAATGACTACTCGGGTTAGCAGAAAAGCTGAGCTACTTGGATTTCCTATAGGATGTAACCACAGGAAATTAATTTGGCGCTTTCTGATGACATCATCTTGACCACAGAGCTTCCTCTGAACAGAAAGCTGTTTTTCTTGGCCTCCTTTGCAGACATTTTTATAATGCGAATGTTATAAAGGTTGCAGTAGTGCTGATGTGAATTCCACCAGAAGGGAGTTTGGTGTGTGACTGTAATGAGGTAATAGTTTTACCTCCAACTGTACAGAGATTTGGTGTAGAAGGCAAAAATGTTGTTTTGTACGAGTGCCCGCTGCCCTTGCGGGCAGCCCTGGGCTTCAAGGCTGCTGCAGYGTGAGCTTGTCCCGCAGGTGTCTGCCGGCTTGAGGGTAAGTTTGAATCGCAGTTAAGAGAGAGAGCACGGCGCAGCTTGGTTGTCTGTCATTCCTCCGTGACGATGAAGCAGAGCAGATYTGGACACAGGCTGTGCTGACCTGTGCAGACTCCGTGTCTGTCTTTGAGTCGAGGATCCCTGGTGCAGCCTGTGCCGCTCGTCTCGTGTCCCCTGCACTAAGGTAATGGCAGCGTAGAAGCAGCTCTCTACTCCGGCTGTGCCGCTGGTGCAGCCTGGGGTTCGCTGATGGGTCCTTAGAGCCTCCAGGTGAACAGGGTCAGGCTCGACCAGACTCTCTCCACTGCATCTGTGCAGCTCATCCGAACACCTCGCAACCAATTTTAAGAAGAGAGATGGGGCAGAAGACCAGCTGCCATAATTATTAAAAAGTCCAGAGAGAAGATAAATTGTAATGAATTCCTGAATCTTCACGTAAAAGGTTTTGTACATGCGAGTAGACTAGAGCTGGGTTTCACTAAAAGGATTTAGTTAACCTAGTATAATTTACTGAGCTGAATTTGACACCAACCTTAAAATCTACTTCTTATGATCACCTTTGGGGGAAAAATAGGTGGTAAATCTAAACTCTAGACGGTCTGTTACCAAATCAGTGCAAGACCTTATTGCACCTCAGGAGTACACTACAAGTTCATTCTTCTTTCAAGAACCTGAAGATGCCAGAGGAGCTCTCCCCTGCAGACAATAAATTGCAGAACTACAAACTCCTTTTTCAAGTTCATTGGCCTACTTCCTTAATGCTAGACTTAAGGTGTCAGGGCTAAATATGTGATCTGACTGCATCTGTGCTACAGGAAGCCTGCCAAGTTGTAGAACAGCAGTGTATGTGGGCTGTCATGTAAAAATACTGGCCCTTTTGGGTGTTTCTCCCTCACTGCAAAGGCTGAGGGCAGGCCAGGAGTTCATGTAGCTGCCTCGTGGTAAAGCTGCTTGTGTCTTTGCTAGTGTATGTTTGTTGTTTTGCAGTGGCAACTGTCTAGTTTTAATGGAGATACAGACTGACAGTGTTCATACAATGCCTTTGAAATAAATATTCTGTCTTTAATACAGGGTAACCTACCCTTGTGAAAGCTACCAGGCAATCCAGCTGGTACATGTTGATGCTGCGTAATGGGCTTGGCTTAGACGGGGATAATCAGTGCAGCGAGCAGTGCCAGGGCCGGGGGCAGGTCGGGAAGTTGCTCTGGTGGCTTTTGATGCCCAGGGCAGCTCCGCTCCCGTGTCCTGCTCCTGGGCTCCGCGCGCCGGCCATGCTGCCCAGTCCCATGCCTGCCGTGAGCTCCACGTCTGCCCTCGCTGCGGGAGGTCTCTGCTGGGACGGGCCCCAGCGGCCCTTCCGATGGCCGTTTGCCACTGCTGCTCCCTCCGGGTGGTTCGGTTTGAGGAGAGCTGCTCAGCRGGTGTCTCTGAAGCTGGAGGACTGAGAAGCCAAAGCTAACCGCAGTGTTTGAGCTCTGTGCAGCATACAGCACGTGTGCCGATTGCACTTATGAAACAGCAGAACTGTTAGTTATGTTATACACTTACCTTTTACTGCCTTTGGTGCAGCAGAAGGAACGCCAGAACTAGGCAGCCTGCCTTCATGAACGAGAGTGAAAGACCAGGGCAGCTCTTGCAGTACCTGTCGGACAGCAGCAGGGCAGCAGAGAGAAATTTTGCCTCACCGCAGAGTTCTCTGCAGGAGTCAATAAGCATGTGGACAGTTGTCGTGCTCTTGGGACCACGTTTCCAAAAAGAGAATGTGGTTTCTAGCCGTGTTAATCCATGTCAGGAGGGGAGAGAGGGAGTCTCCTATCACTAATTAGTACTGGTCAAAAAGAGCTCTAAGCCCTTCATGTTTCAGTGAGAGGGTTTAACTAGTCAGGTTTTCAGACATCTGTGATGTGTGTGTCTAGAAAATGAGACAGAGCAAGATGAAAACATTGGTGACAATTATTAGGTGATAATTATAAGGTGATAAGTATCAGGGTAATAAAATGAAAGCTGACAAAAAGTTGCAGATTGACTGGAAAATAAGATAGCAAATAACATTTGCATTAGTAAGTGCAAATGGGTTGAGAAAGCTCCTAGAATACGTTCTCTCTGTATGTATGTGTGTATGTAGATGTCCAGTGATGAACTCTGACCTTTACCTYTCAGGAAGAAAAACCTGAAGAGTTTTAATAAAAGACCTAAGAAAGCGAAGTGTTAGCACTCAGTAACACTTGTTAAGAAGGGGTAACATTAACATTGTTTAAGAGGGAACCTGGATTTGCAGCAGTGGTAKCTTGTCCCAGTCCGCTTTAAAGCAGCGTGTGAGGCAGCAAAGAAGCTCAGCAGAAGCTTCCTGTGTTTTCTAAACTATAGCTACTTATTTTCAGGCTGCAAGAGTCAAAGATCACATTTTACTTCCCCCCCTCAGGAGATGCAGAATGRAAGATAGATAGATCCCTTCTAGTAGGAATTTGTAAATTCTGCAAAACCAAAATTTTCTGCCCCTTCCTGAAAGGAAGGGAAATGCTTTCCAGGTGTCTTTCCTGCTCTGCTTTGTCTGCACGGGGAACATCTTTAACAAATAGCAAAGCTTTGGATATTTGGCCTTTCATCTGAACCCTTTGTGTGCGTAATGGTGCGGAGCATGGGAACGTTTTATTCATGTTTCTTGCCAATCATTTAGGAATAATATTCTGCTGAGTTAGCTAAGGAAAAAAAAAACTGGACTGGCTGTAGTCAGAGTTCAAGTGGCACAGCTCTCTTTTAGCAGACACAGGCTTCCCTTTCCCTAAATCCTGGTGCATGGGACCCTTCCCTTCCCTGGGCTTTGAGCTGTGCCTGCCATGGTCTGGGCCACTTGCGYGGGTGTCGGGACACTCTCCGTGTTGCACTGTTCCGGAGGCACGTGTATCCGGCTGGCATCCTGCCCGGCCAACGCCTCTGCAAGGCCTGCGTGTCCCAGTCCAGCTGCCTTCTTAATGAACAGCTTGACACTTGCCCTCAGCRAGGGATAAATCCGTGCCCGCCTGACCACTGCCTTCCCGAGCAGCTGCACCACCAGTAACCTGTGGCGCGGCCGCGCTCCGTGCCGTCCCTGCGGAGCCCCAGGCCGACTGCGATCCACGCCAACCCTGCAGAGCCCCGGGC